TGCCAAACCCCTTTTACACAAAATAATAAGTTCCATCCTGATTGTTTATTTGTGTGTTTGTACGAATGCTCGTTTCTCCTTTTCCCTTCTCACTGATCCCCTTCGTCCCCTCAAACTGTCCTTCTACCTTCACGGCACATGTGTGCATGCGCGTGCATGCATGCGTGTGTGTGCGTGTGTGTGTGTGTGTGTGCGCGCACGTGCATGTGTACTCAAATCTAGATTCCATGCATGAGAGAAATGTGGTATTTGTTTTTCTAAGTCTGCCTTATTCTGCTTAACATTCTGAGGTGCCTGCATATGCTCTAATCCCCAACAAATGGTCTGTATGCTAACCACCAGGGACTGGGGTCCAATTAGGCCATGGGCCACAGGTAACTTCAAAGAGATGGCCCCATCTGTATCCATGCCAGTGGGACATTATGGTGGGAACAACACTAAAAGGAATAAGGAGAAAGTAGGAAAGGCAGTTGCTCAGTGTGATGTGTGGTGGGAGGGGACTGAGGCCATTCTGCTCCCCAGTGTCCCCCAGCATCCTACGCCTACCGTGTGGCTCAGTAACTTACTCTAACCTCAGACACTAGTACCAAGGTTAGATGTAAGCCAGCATACAGCTGTGACTGGCCAAGGGGTGCAGTCAGGACCAGGGATAGATAGGGCTCTGGGGGGGGGCTCCAAAAGAAAGCTGAGTACCTTTTATTTGGGAATCCTCCCAGGGAAGACACTGGGGACTTGCGTCTTTGCCTCTTCTGCATGGACCTCTCTCCTCCCCTAAACATCTTTCCCTGTATTTCTAGTGTTTGGTTGTGTCCTCCTGAGGCTGGGGCAGTGTAGTCTGAAGTCTGCAGTGAGTGCCTCCAGTGGGTCAGGGAGAGGCTCACTCAGTGATTTCCTGGCCAGCACCCAGGTCACCCTCTGAGGGAAGTGGCAAGTTTGGGTTAGCTGGACAGGCACTTTGCCATTCAGGAAGTGACTCTCCCCGCCAAGGCAGCTCACCATGGAATATAAAAGGAAGTCCTGGGGCATAGAAACTGCCTCACTCCAACCTCGTCTCTCCTTGGAAAGGAGCTGTTGGTCCAATAGAGTAAGGGTCAGGGTGCATCTAGGAGAACACTTGGTTTGAACTACCTACTGTGGAAATTCCTCTCCATCTGTCCTGGGCAGGGTCCTCAGTCTTGCTGGCCCCTTGCAGCAGTAGAGGCACCTGGTCCCGAGTGTCAACTGCCTAGCCAAGGGGTAATATCATGCAGAAGTCACCTGTGTTTTCCGTTATGGAGGCTCACTTTGGACAGTGGCCTTCCCAGGGCCCAGAGAATGAAACGCCATTGGAAGCAGCTGTAGCAATCGTGGTTTTAATGGAGCACCATGTGAGCCACTGTGCCCTATGAGGTGCTTCTCCCTGCTCTGCACAGAGGAGGCAGATGCTCGACGTTCACATGTCCCAAGGAAGTAGAGTGCACTCAAGTCCTACTGACCTCTCTGCTGTCCCAGGTGACACCTTCTCTCAGATACAGGATCTATCAAATGGCCTATGAAATCCCACTTATCTGCTGCATTTCTTATAGAGCAACTAAAGATGGATGCATGCAAAACATTTACTTCCTAATGATTGAAACCCAGTTCTGGCTTCATAAATGGGGACCATTGCTGTTCTGTCTAACTCAGCACTTCTCACCTCCTGCATGTCCCCAGCAGGGCTATTTAACCCTCCAGGCCCCACCCCTTTCCTCTGGCATGGGGAAGATACAACATTAGTAGAAGGGTGCAGGACTTTGCCTTCCAGGCACAGAAACCCCCAGCTTAACCTGGCAGGCTGGCACAGGGTTTGATGCAGCTCCCTGCTGCTGTGGCCCCTCCCCCAGACCTGCCTCCCACGTGTGGTAATTAAGCTCACCACATCTAGTATAAGCAAATAATAACAAGGGCATTATCTCCTGTTAGTTTGTGTTTTTCCATGCCTATCATAAAGCAATTAAGCTAATGAATGCCTTGTAAAACAATAGGTAAGAGGGTTGGAGAAATAGCATGCCTATGTGCTGTATACCTCTTATGCTGTGAATTATAGATGCATTAAAACCATGGTGGCTGCAGGGGACTCCTGCCTCTGGGCCTTATCCATGCCGAATGTGGCTGTCCTTTGAGACAGTAGGCTCAAGCAGCAGGAAACTGGCCCCCAGGTGGCCAGAGCCCAGTTGGCTGGTGTTGTGTGTAGCTCGGTTGGTAGCCTGCTTGCCTAGCATGCTCAGAGTCCTGGGTCTGATTTCTAGTGCGGTTAAACTGGAAGTGGTAGTAATCTCAACACTTTGGAGGTAGAGGCAGGGGAGCTCAGAAGTTCCAGCTCATTCTTGTGTACAGACCTAGTCTGAGGCACTTGAAGCTACTCGAGGCCCTGTGTCAAAAACAATCAAACAGAAGCAAACACAAGAATGTTGGTTTGAAAGTGTGTCTTCCCCTCAGCCCTCACCATTTTTCAGCCATTTCTGAAAGCAGCAGGTGATGCTGGTTGAAGAAGATTCCAGAAAAGTGCTGGAGTTTAGGTCTGTGATTTTGGCAGGGCAAGACCTGTGGTTCTCTAACTTGACATCAGGAGCGGTCATGGGATAAAACTGTTTCTGGAGTGGGTCTGGCAACCCGAGTAGCTGAATGTACCTTGTGCTTTTAATTTTGGTGCTAGCCCAAGACTGAACCACTGCATTCAGAGTCAATGTTGCATGTGAGGTCGGGCTGGGCATTCTGGGATGCAGTGACTGAGTCTGTGTTCTGTGCCATTGGATGCTGTTTCATTCTGAGAAACAGGCAATATTGCCCCATCTCACAGGGCAGTCCCTGAAGTGGTGGGAGGTTTCTGTTTTGTATATGCACCTTGGTTACCATGGCTGCCAAGGACCACATCCTCCCTGTCATCCTGGAGACTCATCCCTTGAGTCTCAGCATCAGGACCAGAGCTAGCAGGCCAGTGAGACAAGCCTAATAAGTTTGAGAGGCAGATGTCACAGGAATCAGCAGGTGGTTCAAGGCCTCCCCATCCCAGACTCCCACTGGGGTTGTTCCGGCTCCTGCAGCTTAAAACACTGAGGAGTGAAATACCATGGGCATCCAGTCCTACAGCGCAGTTTCTTAATAACACTCTGCTTAAGCCAGGGCCAGCCAGTAGGAGAAGGGCAGGCATCAGGAACATTTCCAAACCCAGTCTCCCTGCTTCCTGGCCTCACCAACCCTCCTTTCTCCTTGCAGGAGGATTCCACCTCTGATGTGGTTCCTCCTCCCCAATCCCTTTTTAGGCCAAAGCACAATGATTCCCAGTGTTTTTCTCTTTGCAAATTAATACCAGGATCATAAGTGATGAGTACTGACGTCTTTTTCCATATCAGTGGGTGTTTTTGAGTATGGGTCTAGTTAAACTTGATTTAGATCAAAGATGAGTCCTCAGTGTATGCATAACCCATGTACTTTTGAACATATTTATAAAGATATTTGTTTACCTAAAATTCAAATTTGACTGAGTACCCTATATTTTATCTGGTATCTCAAACCCGGGCTCTGGAGGTGAACAGATACTCAGAAGTCTTTGTTGTCACTCAAAGTTTTGACTGTTTTTTGTTGTTGTTGGTTTGCCTGTTTGTCTGGACTCTGTGGTCGGGGCTGACTTTGGAATTGTGGGTAACCCTCTTACCTCAGCCTCCTGAGACTATAGGTGTGTGCCACCATGCTTGACTTCATTCATGTTTATCATAACTGCTTTGTGCTTAAGACCGTGTTAGGGATCAGGGCTGACAGCAGGGTTGGGTTAGGGGATGGTAAATGAAGAAAGTAGGTGTGTATAGAATGTACAGAGAGTTCAGGTGTTATGGAAACTATAAATCAAAAGAGTTGGCATAGAAGAAAAGAGTTGGCATTTTCAGAGGGTAGTGACAAAGACTTTATTGGGAAGCTGAGAGTCCATAGGTGCACATTCAAGGAGACAGAGGCAGAAGCAGGCCTTGGGCAGTGAAGGATGGGAGCATCCTAGGCTCAGCACATCGTTTACAGATTCATGTGGGATTTGGGTATCTGAAGCCTTTTTCCTTCAAGCATATTTCAAGTTCTGAAGGGGGAATTTATTGTCTCTTGTAATTCAAAGAGCTGGACTACAGGCACAACTGGGTCCAGGCACTCAGATGATGATATTAGCATCCATCACATCCCCCCCCCCGTCTTCCTTTTCAGCGAATGAATACTTCCCCTCCCGCTTCAGCAAATGTACCATGCCTGAGCCCGATTGCCTTGGCACAGGTCTTGTGACTATCCCTGGCCCGCATGGGTTTTGCCAGGGGACAGAAGGCCTGATCCATCAATCTGTGTTGCTGGATGCGTTGTGGGTCTATCGTGATTCCTGTTTGAATGGCGTACATGGAGGAGAAGCGATGGGAAATTAGTAAAGGAAAGCGGGTTGGCACTATGCAACAAGCCTGTCTCTGGTTACAGAGCAATTAAGAGGGGGCACGGTCTGCACAGTTTCTGGAGATCTTCCTGTCTCCACCTCCCATCACTCTGTAAGTGTTGAAGTCACAGATGTACTCTACTGTACCCAGCTTTTATGTGGCTTCGAGGGATTTAAACTCAGGTCCTCACAGCTGCATGGAAAGTGCTTTACCCTTTAAGCAACCTCCACGGCTTGATTTTTAAAAAACAAAATTAAAACCGGGCGTTGGTGGCACACACCTTTAATCAGAGCACTCGGGAGGTAAAGGCAGGGGGATCTCTGTGAGTTCGAGGCCAGCCTGGTCTACAGAGTGAGCTCCAGGACAGTATCCAAAACAATACAGAGAAACCCTGTCTCAAAAAACAAAACAAAAAATTAAGGAAAATAAAATCCTTAACCATCTCTCTTCCCCCACCTCTATCTTTAAGTCATATCCCCTCATCTGGGAACCCCTTTGGGTCCTGATTCTTTATGGATAGGCATCTTATTCAAATATAGGTGTGTCCTGTGTCTCAACTCTGATTCTTTCTGTTGTCAGGAGGCCCAGAAGATAAATAATGGCTCCAGCCAGGCAGATGGTACTCTCAAGCCAGTGGACGAAAAGGAGGAGGTGGTGGCAGCCGAGGTCGGCTGGATGACGTCCGTGAAGGACTGGGCAGGTGTGATGATATCTGCCCAGACATTGACTGGCAGAGTTCTGGTGAGTCCCTGGCCCCTCGAATATGAGGTGGTCTTGCATCTGGGAAGGGGGCTTGCTTGGGAGAGATGATGATGAGTGGCCAGTGCTCCCCTGAGCTCATGAATCAGGACAGCACTATTACACATTTCCAAGCCTGTAGTTTGGGGCTGTCTACAGAGAGTAAGCCTGCATTGTGCATTCACAGCCTGCTTGGGATGCAGTAAACTGTCTCTGTTGGTAAAACAGATGTATACATGCATGAACAAACACTATACCTGTACTATCTCAGAATAAAGGGTAGGGTATAGCAACACAAACCCGAAATGTGTCCACGGTTTGTTAATCCAGGATCTAGTAACCCCATTCCCTGAGAGAGAAGGGGGGAGGGAGGGAGGGAAGAAAGAAAAGAGGGAGGGAGGGAGGAAAAGAGGGAGGGAGGGAGGAAGAGAGAGGAGACAGTCTTGGCCTATATATGTTCTTGCTGTCCGCTAGTGGCCTGGCAGAACCTGCTTGGATGCAGTGTCCTAATCTGCACTGTGAGCTAAACTAGCTTTTGCTGTGCTCATATGAAGACTATGGATAGCTCCTGTATGTGTTTGTGTGTGTGCATGTGTGTGTGTGCTATAGTGTGTATGTGGTGAGGGTATTATAGTGTTATGTCTGTATTACAGTATGTATGTGTGGTATTTGTGTGATGTGTGTGGTATAGTGTGTATGTATGGTGTGTGTGTGTTATACTGTATATGTGTAGTGTGTGTGTTTTTGTGTATATGTGTGGTGTATATGGTTTGTATGATGTATGTGTTTATAGTGTGTATGTATGGTGTGTGTGATATAGTATATATGTGAATTATAGTGTGTATATGTGGTGTTATAGTGTGTATTGCTGTGTGTATGTACATATGTTATAGTGTATATGTCCGGTATGTGTGTTATAGTATGTATGTTTGGTTTGTGTTTCTATGTGTTGTATATGTGTTTAGTGTGTGTGTTGTATGTATGGCATATTGTGGATGTGTAGTGTGTGTGTGTTTGGTATAGTGTGTATGTGGTGTGTGTGTCTGTATGCATGCTGTACTCTTGCATTCTTGATTGCCTTGTTTCTGGGTCTGTCACCAAGACCCTCCACAGTGAGTGCTTGCTCACCCGATCCTTTCCCAGATGCATCCTGCCTCCCTCAGTTTCAGCAGGGAGCTCAGTTTCACCAGGTGGCCTCATGAGCCCCTGTTTAGGGTAAGAATTGCTTTGTAATGTCTACACCACTTTTCTGGGCCAGAGTTAGCATTATGTTGGAGTTATCAATGTTTCAGTGCAAAGGATGGGGTAGAACTAGGCAGGTGAAGTAAAGGGGAAAATAGCATGTAGGAGATAGATATCAAAATGCCGTGAGACCGGTATATAAAGCATCCAGCAGAAATTGACTGGGAAAGTTGAGACAGCTGAAATTCTCGAGTGGGCTTTTTCTCCATGGCTGTGCTTCTCATTGCTGAGCCTCCAGTTTCTCTTTCCCATTGCAGGGACCTTAGTACCATGAGACCCACAGTAGGGACTTCTACTGTAAGTGGTTCATCTTCTAGCTGTTCTCAGGGACACAATGATTTCACTCTTGGCCTGTTTCATCCTCTCCCTCATCACAGAGCTTATGGGGGGCCTACCACAGAAGAAGGAGCCTTGGAGGACACTTTGAGACAAACACACTTGGGTCTCATATGGGCTAGGGACAGCCCCATTGCAGAGACAGCTTCTTGGTGAGCTCATACGGTACCAGTATAGTGTACGTCTCGCTGGCCATGGCAGACACAGGGCAACAGGGTTTGGTGTGGATGTTACAGTTGCTCCTGTTGGAGGCCATTACAGCCAGCAGATGTGTATGTCATCAGAACCAGCTGAGGGTTCCCAAGCACCAGCTCTGGGCCAAAGAGTTTGTCTGATGAGGTGGAAAATAAGCGCAGTCACTGATTGATGATTGAATTCCTGCTAGCATGCGTCAGGCCCTGGGTTCAATGACAAAAATGGAAAAAGGCTAAATGTGGTGGTGCCTTCTAGGACAAGGGAGGCTGAGGCAGGAGGATCATGAGTTCAAGGAAAGCCCAAGTTACATAGCAAAGTGCTGTTTCAGAAACAAACAAACAAACAAAATCTGACCGAGGGGAGGAAGGGACTTCTTGATGGCCCAGCTAGAAAGAGTGCCGAAGGCAGAAGGAACAGTTGAGCTTTTTCTAGACACCCTTGTTACGAGAAGCTTTTTCCTTGAGAAGAGCCTTCCTGCCAACCTGGTTCCAGAGCCGCTTCAATCCCAATTAAACACACAAGAGGCTATATTCATTATGAAGCTGTTGGCCTTGCTTGTCTCTTACTGGCTAGCTCTGCTTTAAGTAATTACCCCATAATTGTTAATCTAAGTATGTCTCTTACCGGAGAATAGTTCTGGGCTCCTACCCCCATGGCGGTTACATGTTGACTCTCTTGTGTTTCTCCTCCCAGAATCCTCCTGGACTCCTAGCCCCACCTATCTAGATTCCTATTGGCCAGCAGTAATTTATTAACATATACACAGGACTTCCCCAACATCTCCTCTTTTCTGTTTAAACAAAAAGAAAGGTCTTAACTTTAACATAGTCAAATTGTATATGACAGAACAGTTATCAAGTAAGAACACAGTTACAACATTTTGTCTATTAACATTTAGCAAGATCTAAAGAAAATATCAACCATCCCATCCTTGTGAGTCTAAAGTTCTATATGTAGCTTATCTCTTATCATAACTAAGGAAAACTATAATTATAACTATCTGTCTTCAACTCCATCAAAGACCACAGAAGGATAATATATAAACACTAGGATTGACAGAGGTATCTTACTACCTGGACAGTCACCCGAAGTTCCTCTGTAATGTTGGGGCATCCATCTTCAGCCCATAGGCCACAATGTGTCTGGAACACTTCTCAGCAAAGCAGGAAATTTCAAACTGTCCATCTGCATTGGCAGTCTGTCAGTCATTTGTCTTTGTCCTGCAGAACGTCTCCTAGACTCTTCCATGAAGCAGGAACTCTGTAAGACTGAGTTCAGCAGTCACTTTTCTGTGGGTCCTGCATGTCCAGATTATACAACAACAGTTAAACAGTCTAGGCAAGAGCAGTTTCTTGCCCAAATGGCTAATATTGCCACGTTGAAAGCAAACTCCATAACGAGTTTCTTTGATGCCCATTTTCCTCTCAGACATAATTGGTGCTGCCAGGAGCAGACATTTCTCATTGTCAAGAAAAACCCTAAACCATTTAAAATGCCATTTTCTGATGGTCTTTGAGAGGTTTGAAGACTATCTGTCTCAAATACATCTCTATATATCTAGAAAACCTAACTTACCTAACTATAAGATCTGACTCTTATAAGTAACTATCTATAGCCTGTATTCAATTATGCATTACGTTTTAAAAGATCAGTATAAGCACAATACTTAATCAAGAGGAGAAATATACATATCACAAATTTGACCTTGAATTTGTATCAATAAATGAAAAACAATACCCATACCATAATTCCCCTTTTTACCATTAAAAGGAGATTGGTTGTGATCATTAACCAATTATAAACAATCCCATTTAATTGAAAACAAAGATTTATAAACAAGATGGGAATTGGGACGTCGCTCATTCCAAACTGCTTCCTGCTGGAAGGGGGTGCTGTTTATACCATGGGGATCATGACAAAACTCAGAAACCTGTATAAGTCCATATTTTCGGGGTCTGTAAGACTGCATCATCTTCGCTGTTTCGATTGTTGGAACACCTGGTCCACTGCTTCCGGGGGTCTTGGTTCGTCAAACCACAAAAGCCTGGAAGGAATCCTTAGCTTTTCATTTTCTGTAGAAACATAAATAAAAACTCCTTTTCCAAGTAACATATCCTTACACTTAAATTTTGAAGTCAAGGCATTTTTAAAAGATAGAAGTTGGATTAATTCAGCAGCATTTATAATCAAGTGTACTTTAGCAGCAGTTCCTTCCTGAGCAAGCAAAAAACTGAAAAACACAATAGCGTACAGTATCCAGACTCTCTGTGTGTTTTCCATCTTTACGTGGCTTATTTATTTATCTATTATTACTTTATTTCTTTTACTTTTATTTCTTTTTCTCTGAGACAGGGTTTCTCTTTGGAAATCCGCCTGCCTCTGCCTCTGAAGTAAATCCTACCGGCGTGCGCCACCACAGCCGGCTTTTGTATTTATTTACCACTTTGTCGTTTTATTTTCTCTCTCAATCTCACGTATATTTTTAAACACACTGTAAACCTTTCGAGGTTTTTCTTCATTTAAGTCTGACTTTACTGTAAAGCTTTATGTTTTTCTGGCCACATGTCTTATCTGTAAAACCGCGGCTGTTTTAAACTGCCGTTTCAAGATGGCGGGTGTAAGCGTGATTTCAGCTTACCGCCTCAGTCCATGCTGACCTCCAGCAAAAGCTGCCACTTCCAGCTGTACGTACACACCTTTCAATTGTTAGCAGAGTCTCTTAAAACAACCTTGTTGGGTTTTTTTTTCTTTTTTTTTTTTCTTTTTATGCCGAGTCAGGAAGACTCCAGTAAGCGAGCTGCGTGAATCTCGGCTTGTGGCTAGCAAAACAGAGCATACCTGAGAAAAATGCTGCTACCAAAATCTGTGCTTCTCTCTGTTCTTCTGTTTCTAAAATTCCTTTAAAGCTTTTGTTGTTTTGCGTGGAAATTCAATCCCACTCCTGACAACCATTTTGTTAAGAGAAGCTTTTTTCCTTGAGAAGAGCCTTCCTGCCAACCTGGTTCCAGAGCCGCTTCAATCCCAAATAAACACACAAGAGGCTATATTCATTATGAAGCTGTTGGCCTTGCTTGTCTCTTACTGGCTAGCTCTGCTTTAAGTAATTACCCCATAATTGTTAATCTAAGTATGTCTCTTACCGGAGAATAGTTCTGGGCTCCTACCCCCATGGCGGTTACATGTTGACTCTCTTGTGTTTCTCCTCCCAGAATCCTCCTGGACTCCTAGCC